CAGTCATAGTGTAAGTAACAGTAATCCATTTGAAACTTAGTTTGTGCTTAAGGTCTAACATCTTTGACAATCCCTTACTTCTAATACTACAACAAAGGATGCCCCTTCCAATCTCTCCTGCTGAGATTGAACACAACATATATATATATACAAAGAGAGATAAAAAAGCCTGTTATTTTGGTCATTTTGAAGTCAACTAATATTTTAAATTAGTAAATAAAGTGGAATGTGTTATCCAAAGTAAAATTTGTAACTACCAGAACAACTGGAATTAAATGGCTGCCAACAATTGTCTCTTAAGGGGTTAACTAAGAGACTATGAGAAGGAAGACTTAATTTTTAATTTCACCATGTACTTGAATTGCTTCTATAATTAAAAAGAATATATATGATTATAGTTAGATAAACCTTTAAAAATCTCCTATTTTAGTTGTTTTTCTTTTCTTTAAGCCAAGGAAATCATATGCAAAGTTACGTATGAAAGGAAGGCAAAGGTAAAGCCTGCTCTGTTTGAGGGAGGGCAGGAGCCCAGAGAGCTACATAGTCTAGTGCACCACTGCCCCCCTTGGTTGTTCCTGGGACAGTGCTACAGCATCCTGAGGGCAGAGGTGTACATTTGAAAATTACTGATTTAGTCTAGTAGCCACATAATTTAGAATAATGCCAAGGTCAGCCTGCAAATAAGTGGCAAAGATAAGAAATTGTTTAGCCCAATTCCAGTGTATCCAGGACAATGACCAGACTTCATCTCATGTTTGTAATAATTAATGTTCATGGAATTAACATGTGAAAACACAAAGTATGCATTGAGTTCCAATTTTTCAAATTATCTGTCAAAAGAAAAGTGTATGTGGTATTTAACTTCTTTGCTTTGCAGATCACTTTAAACATGAGTTTTATCTAAAATGAGATGAAATAAAATTCAAGGAAGAGAAATACAAATAAACAGGCCAACTACAAAAACTGAGATTTTAAAGTCCATTACATATCCTTAGAAGATATGGTGAGAAGTATAAACTTTAAGTCCAATTTCTACATAATGACAAAGCAAAGTATCATTTGCATACAGCTACTAAAAATTATTTGATGGTAAAAGGAAAGTAAAATTTTAAAGTGCTGTTAAATAGTGACAATGATTAGATAAGCCAGAATTATCTATAACCTTACATAAAAGGAAAAAGATGTATCTGCAAAGTAGTCTGGATACGAACTGGCTGAATCAAACAACTAGCTATTAGCAACAAAAATCTCTTGCCAAAATTATCATTTACTTGAAAGGGCCAAGACATTTGCAGCATGGACATGTTGCTTAATCCAAAAGAGTGCCATCAAAAGCTTACTTTGCTCAATGATAAATATAATTAACTTTATAATAAAAGCACAGGTGGATAGTAAAATTTCATTAGTTGAAGAGCCTTATGTGGCATAAGACTTTTTACATATGAATAATTTAAAACATACTTTGATTTTCAAACAGAATAACCTGAACACTTTTTAGACATTAATATTACAATGGAGTCAATATTATAAACAGTCTTCTAGATAAAGATACATTAAGTCTGTATTCCAATTATGTTACAATCATTTGTACACAAATTTATGAATAGGCCTTGAATGTTCAGTATGACTCGCTTTTATTAGAAATATTAAAATGAGAGAAAGATGTATGTAAAATGGAAAAAATGTTCATAATACATGTTTAGATTACATTTCAAACTTTCAGAAGTTTAAGATGTTTAAAATGTTTATCAATGTTTTCTACAATGACTTAGTATTGTTTATCCAGAAGTACATCTGATTTTCTACAAAATCTACAATACTGCTTTTCAAAAAAAGACAAAAAAGCAGTATTACAAGATTAAAACAAGTGTGCTATTTTTTAATATTTAATGATTTCTTTGAATAAGTTTAAAACTTAGACATAAATCTTAAATATATACACAGAGAGATTTCTTGCAAACTATGTAATACAATTTTCTAAATTGTCAAAATACTAAAAAGAATAAGGTATGCCTCTAATGTTACTCTGCACATAGAAAACAAATTCATTTTAAGGTATATTTAATTATGAATTTCACTAAAAACTCTATCAGTTTAAATGAAAAAAAAGAAAAACAAGCATTTTAGAAATATAAAACCAGGAAAAAGTTGTTTTTAAGTTCAACAATATTTATCTATAAAGACAAGAAATTATCTTTGGTATAAATTCATGTGGTAGACTCACATTACCTACATTTACAAGTGAGTCCTTGGAATAGTTGGAACTCAAAGGTGTGAAAACAACTAATTTAAAAAAAATCCATGATTTGGCACCTACAGCTCCTAACAAGAGCCTATTGCAAGGTAGCACACTAAAAGTTCATACATTATGTCATTAAGTATGTATCAAGCAATGCCAAAACAATGAACAATTATCCTTGAAGCAATTATGCTTTCCAAAAGAATATGAAAAAAATGATTCCAGTTTGTGCTTAAGGTCTAACATCTTTGACAATCCCTTACTTCTAATACTACAACAAAGGATGCCCCTTCCAATCTCTCCTGCTGAGATTGAACACAACATATATATATATACAAAGAGAGATAAAAAAGCCTGTTATTTTGGTCATTTTGAAGTCAACTAATATTTTAAATTAGTAAATAAAGTGGAATGTGTTATCCAAAGTAAAATTTGTAACTACCAGAACAACTGGAATTAAATGGCTGCCAATAATTGTCTCTTAAGGGGTTAACTAAGAGACTATGAGAAGGAAGACTTAATTTTTAATTTCACCATGTACTTGAATTGCTTCTATAATTAAAAAGAATATATATGATTATAGTTAGATAAACCTTTAAAAATCTCCTATTTTAGTTGTTTTTCTTTTCTTTAAGCCAAGGAAATCATATGCAAAGTTACGTATGAAAGGAAGGCAAAGGTAAAGCCTGCTCTGTTTGAGGGAGGGCAGGAGCCCAGAGAGCTACATAGTCTAGTGCACCACTGCCCCCCTTGGTTGTTCCTGGGACAGTGCTACAGCATCCTGAGGGCAGAGGTGTACATTTGAAAATTACTGATTTAGTCTAGTAGCCACATAATTTAGAATAATGCCAAGGTCAGCCTGCAAATAAGTGGCAAAGATAAGAAATTGTTTAGCCCAATTCCAGTGTATCCAGGACAATGACCAGACTTCATCTCATGTTTGTAATAATTAATGTTCATGGAATTAACATGTGAAAACACAAAGTATGCATTGAGTTCCAATTTTTCAAATTATCTGTCAAAAGAAAAGTGTATGTGGTATTTAACTTCTTTGCTTTGCAGATCACTTTAAACATGAGTTTTATCTAAAATGAGATGAAATAAAATTCAAGGAAGAGAAATACAAATAAACAGGCCAACTACAAAAACTGAGATTTTAAAGTCCATTACATATCCTTAGAAGATATGGTGAGAAGTATAAACTTTAAGTCCAATTTCTACATAATGACAAAGCAAAGTATCATTTGCATACAGCTACTAAAAATTATTTGATGGTAAAAGGAAAGTAAAATTTTAAAGTGCTGTTAAATAGTGACAATGATTAGATAAGCCAGAATTATCTATAACCTTACATAAAAGGAAAAAGATGTATCTGCAAAGTAGTCTGGATACGAACTGGCTGAATCAAACAACTAGCTATTAGCAACAAAAATCTCTTGCCAAAATTATCATTTACTTGAAAGGGCCAAGACATTTGCAGCATGGACATGTTGCTTAATCCAAAAGAGTGCCATCAAAAGCTTACTTTGCTCAATGATAAATATAATTAACTTTATAATAAAAGCACAGGTGGATAGTAAAATTTCATTAGTTGAAGAGCCTTATGTGGCATAAGACTTTTTACATATGAATAATTTAAAACATACTTTGATTTTCAAACAGAATAACCTGAACACTTTTTAGACATTAATATTACAATGGAGTCAATATTATAAACAGTCTTCTAGATAAAGATACATTAAGTCTGTATTCCAATTATGTTACAATCATTTGTACACAAATTTATGAATAGGCCTTGAATGTTCAGTATGACTCGCTTTTATTAGAAATATTAAAATGAGAGAAAGATGTATGTAAAATGGAAAAAATGTTCATAATACATGTTTAGATTACATTTCAAACTTTCAGAAGTTTAAGATGTTTAAAATGTTTATCAATGTTTTCTACAATGACTTAGTATTGTTTATCCAGAAGTACATCTGATTTTCTACAAAATCTACAATACTGCTTTTCAAAAAAAGACAAAAAAGCAGTATTACAAGATTAAAACAAGTGTGCTATTTTTTAATATTTAATGATTTCTTTGAATAAGTTTAAAACTTAGACATAAATCTTAAATATATACACAGAGAGATTTCTTGCAAACTATGTAATACAATTTTCTAAATTGTCAAAATACTAAAAAGAATAAGGTATGCCTCTAATGTTACTCTGCACATAGAAAACAAATTCATTTTAAGGTATATTTAATTATGAATTTCACTAAAAACTCTATCAGTTTAAATGAAAAAAAAGAAAAACAAGCATTTTAGAAATATAAAACCAGGAAAAAGTTGTTTTTAAGTTCAACAATATTTATCTATAAAGACAAGAAATTATCTTTGGTATAAATTCATGTGGTAGACTCACATTACCTACATTTACAAGTGAGTCCTTGGAATAGTTGGAACTCAAAGGTGTGAAAACAACTAATTTAAAAAAAATCCATGATTTGGCACCTACAGCTCCTAACAAGAGCCTATTGCAAGGTAGCACACTAAAAGTTCATACATTATGTCATTAAGTATGTATCAAGCAATGCCAAAACAATGAACAATTATCCTTGAAGCAATTATGCTTTCCAAAAGAATATGAAAAAAATGATTCCTCCTTAAATATGCAGATTTCTGTATTTTACTACTCTTAATTTTTGTACACATTTTTTAAAAGCTTTTCCATTTTCTTAGTATACTTTGTAAGATGAAGACTGTTCAACACTTACCTCTTTCCAAGGACTGACAAACTGTGTACGAGCATATCGAGTTAGCATGTGGATTATGACAACCTGCCCCCACTCTTCTACATCAATTAGTAGATTACACAATTTGCGGTAATTCTTGTGAATCAGATCTATTCTATCCGGGCATACTTCTTCAAAAGCCATCACAACACTACCAGCTACCAGCTAGAAAAGAAAGAAATAGTAACTCATTAAAAAATATTTTCCTCGATCAAAGATTCTACTTAGGCATTACAGAGTACAATCAATATTATGACAATCAATACCTAAAGCATTCAGTCATTTAATTAATAAATGATTGTTCATGTTTCAATAACAAATTTTAAAGTGTCACTTCCTCAAAGAATAATAGTTGTAACATATCATGTACTTTCCTGAAGTGTTAGAAGTATTAGTATTAGAAATTCTGAAAATTTTTCTTTCTTCAGGTTAAATTTCAATAAATTATACATACATGGATTAAACATAATGTACATACATTCATTAAAAATGAATTCAAAGATTCATTATTTTAGTACATAACAAATTCAGAAAAAGAATCAAGATAATAACAAAGACCACATGGTGTCAGGTAAGATAAGAATAACAATAATTCCACAATGAATTTTTATCTTAAAATATGTGTTAGGAACTTGTAAATGTTTTTGGTACAAAAACACTTTTAAACCTTACACATTTTAATCTGCCTGTTAATTTTTTACACAAATAGTTTATTTACAAAGAAAACACACAGGCTAAACTTTTAGTACATCATGATCACTTCTGTAACACTGTGTATAGGTTGAAATAACATGTTATAAATAAAAGTCAGTTTTCTTCAAGAGCAATTAATGAACCATAAATGCTGTTTTTGGAATTGTCATGCTTTTGCAAAGTGGTAAAATTAAGATTTCTTTCATATAAAGATACAACCTAAGCAGAACATATAATACACAAATACTTTTATATATGTACCATTGATACATGTGCAGCTAGTCAACAATAAAATACGGTTTTGAAAAAATAAATTAATATCATATTCTTTCTGAACACTAGGGATCTTCATTTGAGTGTCTAAAATTTCCCCAATGACTTAAAATAAGCAATTAAATAGAAATATAACTTACTGAACTGGTACTTTTTGAAAAATATTAGATACAATGATATTCACATTTTTAGTGTTTGTTCCTCTTCTTGGCTGACATTTAGTTTATTAATATGCAAGCAACAATACAATTGAAAGAAAACAGCTCAGAATATAGACTTGCTATTATGCTAAACAAGTTTCTAGTCCTGTGGGGATTTTATGAATTACCAATCAGTACAAACGTGAAGCCGCATTTATTGACTCCAGCCCTGCCCATATACTGGTGCCTGCTGGTCCCAGCATGTATGCACCTCAATCGAAAAAGCAAAGAATTGATTATTTGTATGAACTAAATAAAAATGTATTGTACTTATAATTTTCTATTTGCTATTGATACGGAAAAGAAGTTAAGTTCATGTTTTCAACTCCGTATTTTGGTATCTTCTGCATAAATTACTCTTCAAAAATTACATTGGGATAATCATATTTCTAAAAGGTTAGAATTTGTGTCATTTAAAAATCTCTCAAAACAACTAAGTTAATAATGTCAAACTATATTTTAGTATTTGTGAAATGTATTTACATTTATTTCACATATATGTCAACCTTATAGTAATATAAGAAATACGTATCATTTGGCTAATAAAATAAAAATAAATAGTACCACCTACAATAAAATAATTCATAAAATTAAAATAATAATTCAACAAAGTTTCAATTTAAGAAACACTACATAAAATCAAGTTATTTTACCTAAGCCTAGAAATTCTTTTTTCAAAGTGTTTAGTAGATGCCACATAATTTAAAGGAAAATCAGCTTATCTCATGTTATTCAATTTACTAAACCAACAGCTATAGGTACAATTCTAAAGTACTAACAGTATGAAAAAGAAAGAAAATAATTAATTAATTACAAGTAAAGTTTAAGGAAACACAAATCTAATTAGGAAGAATGTAAAGAAAAATACTTTTACAAAATAAGGCTGGCCATTTTAGATATTTCATTGTATGGATTTAACAAACTGACCTAGGCTAAACCCTAATGGAAGAATTAATAATTCTGGTCTATCAAATGTTCAATATTCTATAAAACTTCCAGAATTAAAATAAAATGATCTACTCAGATTTTAAAACCAAAAACATTGGTTTCCCAAAAACAGACAGTTAATTTCCATCTCACTGTGTCAATAGTAGCTTTTTATATAAGGGGACAAAATAAATCACTTCAACAAGACCAGCAATGAGCTCATCAAATTCAAATGCAGTTTTCCATTTATGTATTTTTTATATTAAAGCTATAAACACGGTTCATTTATCTTCCCTTGGTTGCCACGTTTTTCTGTGCTGTTGCTATGAACTTCAGCCATTAGCTGTGCTCCAAGGTAAACTACATGAACCATCAACAAAAGTGACACCCTATCTATGGAGTTCATATTTTCTCCAGATTATCTATGCTAGTTGACAAGCTGGTAATGAAAAAAATCACACTAAGCAAATGGTTCCTCTAATAACAATAAATTTTCTATAAAATTATGAAGGGTACAAAACGTTTCCTTGCATCTATTTTGTCATGAATTCTAATTAACGTTGCAAAAACCTGAGAGTGCTGGGTCATCACAAGAAGTGCATCAGGATTTGATTGATAATATGGGGTAGGTTGGCCAATGCTGCCAAGATTTTCTTCTCTTAAATTAATGGCCATCCAACCTGCCCTAATCATACAGCCCAAATGATATTCCCCTTCTTATTTCAATTTTCTTGAGGCATGGAAAATAGGAAAGATCAGTCATTTATCTTCTAATAGCTGGATAATAGATCTATCACAATAAAACATCTGCACAAACTCAGAGGTGTGTCTTTGTGCCCACAACAGTGAAGCATTTACCAACATTAAATCAGTAACTTATAAAATGGTGTCTTCCCCCACAGTTTAGTTATGAATTACCAATATACTTATTAAACATTATTTTGTAGCTAAATTAAGGAAAGTTTGTGATAAAAAAAACATAAACAAACAACTCAGTTTTTCAGTAGGCATTGACCTAATTTGTTTTTCTAAGAAACTGTTTTCTTTTAGAAAGTTAAATCCTATCAAAAGCATTTCTTTAAAATTAACCTGAAAGGAAAAGGAAATAAGTATCACCCTGCTTTTGAGAAGTTCTAAATAAAAGAGACTGTTAACTGCTATGCTCAAATTGTTCAACAAGTATGGATTTCTACATTATAAAGAAAAACAAGAGAAAGTGTTATAAATTGAAAACCTTTATAACTGAATTTATAACTGAACATTAGGAAAGGTTTGTAGTAAAGAACAAAAGTGTTAGGATATGTTAAAAAGAGAAAAGAGGTATTGAAAATGGTAAATCTAGGAATATAAAATGAAGAAACTAATGAAAACTTACAACAGCTAATTAGAAAGCATAAAACATAGATAAAATACTCCCTTTTAGTTTCATTAACAAAGAAATGAAACTAAACATAGTTTCATTTCTATGCCTTTACAGTTGTGAGGTTTCTATTATATATTTTTTAATTTAGGGATACCTTCCAACAACAGTTACCTAAGTAACACTAAAATATTCTTCTAGTTCATTTGACCGTAACTCGATTCCTAAGCCCAAACTGATTTATTTTCAGGAAAAAAAACATATGACAAATACCAGTATTTTTTAGTAAAAGGAAAAGGCTATTCCATTTTAATATGTTTATATTTCCATCTTGCCTTAAAATAAGAATACTAGAAGTAATTTTCTTTGAGATCTCAATTGTAAGAAAATCTTCCTTTAGACTAAAAGAAGCAACAGAAGGTATACCTCAAAATGAACAGATATTAGATGAAATTTTTAAATACATTTAGCACCTTTGAAATTTACATTTATCAGCAGCAATAAGCAACATCAACATCATGATATTGATCCCAAGAAGCTTCTGCTGATAACAGGTTAATTTCTTTTTAAAATGTAGAAACAATAAGACTTGGTTCATTTATAATTGGGAAGTGTCTAAACAAAAATGATTTGGGATTATCACTGATTTTAAATTTCAATGCTGACATTATTAATCTGGGGGAGAAAATATAGCTGGCTTCTTCAATAATTATTACAGTCAAAAGAACTAATAAAGATAAGAACTATCTATATAGACATCAACATATTTTTAATCTTTCTACAACAGCTTATAATCAAACAAAGGAAAAAAATCAGAAAACATTCTAAAAACATAATTTAAATAATGTGTAGACAAGTTAGTGTACCTGGATAAATCTTAATCTCCCAACCCAAACCTAGAAAAACCAAAGAGACAAAAATATGTATTCTAAACATAACTAAAACCAGAATTCCCTAACTTCAAATTATGTTAAAGTATAAAGTCCTAAATCCCAGAGAGTTATCTTTTATGCTTATATCACAAAGACCTATGACAGTTTGGAAAAACAGCTCAGATAAAGCAGATAGAAGTTGGTGGTGGGCATCAACGGCAGAAAGAGAAAAAAAATACTCTGAGGTAAAAATACTACAAAAGATTCCAGGTAAATCAAAATAAACTACAAGGAAGGGATTTCATGGTGGGTGGTGTTGGAGGTGAAACTGCAGGGATATTCAAGAAGATCCCTTGGAAACAGACAGTTTCAAGCACTATGGTTTCAAGGAAATGGTTAAACAAAGAGGCAGAGGAAAAAGCCCCTTAGAAACTATAAGTAAAAGAGAAGTAAGAGGAGGAAATTTAGGAACCTAAAAGACAAAAAAAAATTCAAAATAATCTTAGGGCATGCAACCCTTCTTATGCGTTTCCTCCCCCAAAAATGAAAAAACACACTTTTCTATTTTGACCAAGAGGTTGCTCTTGTACTAGGAATCTTGCAAACTATCTCAAATTCAAACCACTAACCCTGTCTAAAGAAATGCAAAGATGCAAGTACTCTATAAGTATTGAAAACAAAAAATGAAAATTAAAACAATTCACCTGATGTAAATTATCCACAAAAGGATGAAGCAAAACAAAACTAACACAACAGTCCAAAATGAATTAAGCACCCTCAAAGAAGCATTTGAAAATCAGAAAAATGAACCTAGTCAGAAATTCATAAAAAGATCACAGCAGTGAACAAGATATCAGGACGAAATGAAACAAGAGTTGACTGAAACCAAAAAAGAAATTGAGGGAGAAAAAAATAATCACATATGATGATTAAATTGTAACATGTCCCAGGAAGAAAACACTTGAATGAAAATTTAGTACAGTGCATTAAACTAGAAAAGGAACAAATAGAATGGAAATGAGGTAAAGACAGAAGTAAAAATGTTTAGAGAGACAGTGATTGAAAATTAAGACACGCAAAGAAGATCTAACTTAGATAAAATTGAAATCCCTTAATAAAGAACAAGTAACAATTGAACAGGATTAATACTTTAAACTGTAATCTTAAAACAAACAGAATATAATATACATTCTGAATCTATATTTTGAAAAGGCTCACTGGGTACCAGGAAAAAACTGACCCACATCAAGTAACAACACTGAGACACTGTGTAAAACTATTATATTTCAAAGATATAGAGAAAATCCTCAGGATCAGGATCTTATCTAATACAGACACATTAAAGGCATTTCCTTTAAGTTCAAACAAGGCAAGGGTGCCCACCTTCTCCATTACTACTGAACACTGTACTAAAGGTATAAGCCATATAATTAGATGAGATAAATTAATTAGTCATAAGAATTGGAAAAGAGGAAGTAAAACCACCTCTATGGTGCAGATGACAGATTCATTTTCTAGAGTATACAATAGAGAATAAATGATAAACTAAATCAAAAAATTAAAGAATTCCCTAAAGAAGGATATAAAATTACTATACAGAAAATCAACAGCTTTCCTTTATACCAATATAACAAATTTAATGATATAATGATAAAGCAATTTCAATTTATAATAGCATCAAAAAAGTAAGACTAAAGATAAACTTAACTCTAAACCAATATTTAACTCAATTAGCAGTTCCCTTCTTCCTACTCCTCACAGAGGTACATGCTAGCAATTCTGAAACAACATTTTTATGTTCTGGGACTGAGCAAATAAGTATATATGTGGATAATGGTAGCCATATTTCTTAATACTGGAGTAGGAAGTTTGAAAAGGTAGGAAGTGAAAAGAATCCTGTGCTGTTGCACTAGCATTACAGGTATTAATATAAACTACTGCTGTTTAATATAGATAAAAAAAAAGTAGATATAGATGTGTAAAATTAACATATATCATATAACATGTTAGGGAAAAGGAGTGCCTCATAAATGACAGACCATCAAAATCAAAAATATCTACCTATGAACACTGAGCATGACACACACCATTTGGGAAGCAAAATGTTAAAAAAAATAGTCAGCACCTAACTACTATCACCAAGAATGTAACAAATTAATTACACTATCATTTAACAGATAGTAAATATCTACTGTGAACAACTACTTCATATGTTTTCTTCCACTGTATTTTGGAAATAAGTGGTCATTAGTCAAGAACAGACATTCCAAATTTACAAAGAAATCACCTTTTCTATTCCTTTTTGAATCTATTTCTTATGGGAGTATTTATTAATCCCCTTCTATGGTGTACAGCACTGTGCTGAGGGTTTTATATATAAAAGCTCTTTCAACAGAAACAAAAATTTATACAGTATAAATTATATGTCACACAAATTTGCAAACTGAAATTTATGAAGGCTTAATACACAGCTACTAAGTGGCAGAAGTACAGACACAAATCCAATCCTGTCTAATGCTAAAGAGTGTAGTTTCCAACTGTGATGTATCTTGTTTGGAAAGACATGCACATATTACATATGGAAATTTCATTCTTAGGCCATGTAACAAATTTATTTTAGCCTAAAAAGCAGCAGAAATCATAGTAAACTACATTAAAATAAAGGATCTGTGTCTTGTAGATTTTACTATATTCTCCACAGTACTTAGCAAATGTCTTGCACATAGAAGAAATTAGATTTTTCTTCATTATTACTAAAATCAAGTCAACCACAATATCAGAACATTCCCCTCATATCTGGGTCATAGAAGCAGATAATAATGGTGCCACAAAGAAGAAAAAAGGAATCAACTTTCTTTTCTCTGTCTTTATTTACTAAGCAAACCTATATTTGTTTACCTCCTAAATTAATGCCAAACACTATAGAAGAAATGCAATGAAGATTTCTGACACATTATAGACTAAAAGAAATTTGTTGGGTAGCCTAGGAATGAAATCTCTAAGTATAATTTCCTGTATAATACAGTATTTTCAAAAATACGTAGTGAAAAACTCATTAAAGAAATTAAAATGTTCAATAGAACATATTCATTTAATGCAAAAAGACAGCAGTAAAAGATGAATGAGGCACAAAAAAGACAAGACAAAAAATCAAGTAAAATGGCAGCTGTATTTTCCACTATATCAATGACAAAAAATATGAATGGATTAAACAATCTAATCAAAAGGTACACACTGTCAATGTGAATTAAAAAACAAGATCCAACACATGCTGTCTACAAGAAAACACATTAGATTAAAAAATACCAACAGGTTGAGAGTAAAAGCAAGAAAAAAAGCTTATATTATGTAAACCATAAGAAAGCTGGAGTGCCTGTACATATATTGGATAAACAGACTTTAAAACAAAAGGTCTTAGTAGAGATGAGGGACATTTTATAATGACAAAAGGGACATAGAAACAATTATAAACATATATGCACCAAACATCAGAGCACCTAAACATATGAAGTAAACAGTGACAGAAATGAAAGGAGAAATAGACATTTATAAAACAATAGTAGGCAAGTTCAATACTCCATTAAAAAAAAATAGAACATAAATATAGGTATAAGATCAATAAAGAAATATGACTCTAATAATACTATCAACCAATTAAATCTAACATATATCCATAGAACACTCTATCAAACAGAATATTCACTCCTCCCAAGTACACACTGAACATTTTCTAGGACAAACTGTATGCTACGCCATACAACAACAGCCATATAAAGCTAGTGGCTGCTCTATTAGATAGCTGCTATATACAGATATACATGGTCTTTCATGATATCATCATAAGATAAGCTGGATCCTTTTCCTTAATAGATTTGAGCTACATATGTAAGTGCAAAAGCCTCCACCAAAGACACCATTATACCAGCTCCTCCAGGGATCTCCTCATAAAGCCTATGGGTCATCACTACTTCTAGATCTCATTATCACTACACCCAAAGAATGGAAGTGGGGAAGAGAGGAAGAAAAGATATGTACATTCTCAAAAGATGACTCCTATTAGCCAGTAAGTTCAAAATGGTTTTTTTTAAAAATACATTTATAATACACAGCACATTCCTCTAGTTGTTCAATATTTCTTTAATACTTCTTAATACTCAATTTTTAAACAATTATTTGTTCCCAGGTGATTCAGCCTTTTAGAAGTCCTAATAAATCACTGCTTGAAATAAAAACTCTGGCACTAAAAGCACTCAACAATTTGGCCAATTTAGATTAGAGAGAGGATTTTTTTCTCCAACTTGCTCCTCTTTAGATTTGGATGAAAAAATGTATAACAAACTAAAATTCTAAATGCAATCCTTCTCTATACATGGACATTTTTATTCCTCAAGGATTTTAATGACCCCCATTAATATTTATGTCATTTTAAAATCAATAATAATTATGCCAAACATACAATAATAAAATAACACTATGCAAATAAAGCACAATTTTACTTTGACATGAAAAAATATTACTTACTGTGCTCTTATCCTTCAGAAGTTTATCAATTACTTCAATTAACATTTCCTTCTGCTCTGGATCTAAGCTAAAATAGAAAAAAACTTACATTATTTTTTCCTTTAATTCTAACTTTAAATGAAGCTAATCATTTCAAGAATATTAATAAACTTTAAAAGGAAGGAAGGAGTGCAAGAATTATTTAAAGATAGAAACAAATAGAAAACAAATTTAAAGTAACCAAGATGGTTTTTCTCCCAAATGTGTGCAAATCTTTCTCTCCAAAGTTGTTCATATAAATAAAACCCAGATTCCAATACCATTAAGAAAATATTTAAAGAACAAGTTCAGTTCTTTAAATAAGCTGGAAAAGCTTAATAAAGTAATTGCAAGTTGATAAACCACAAATTCTTCCTTCAACTGGGGGGAAAAATAACAATAACAATCATTTTTTATTATGGGCACATAATTGTCAAAAACAAATATACAGAATTTCCAAATAAGAATTTTATATCATTCTAGTTCACTTATGGAGACATGTATTATAAAACCTGCCATCTAAAATGAATAAATATAAGCAAAAGCTTATTTATTTATTTACAGAATTGAGAAACACATCCTAATAGCAGCCCTAAGCATGGAAATATTAACAATATAATTTCTCCCTAGCATGGAATTCAATTGTTCATTTATTGAGAAGCAAAACTATAGGTATACAAAAATAAGTAAGAGAGTCTAGTAAGGACAGTCCCAAACATAATCACACCATATATATATGTGTGTATATTTATTTATTATTATTATTATGTGTATATTACATATATATGCATAAGGGATTATGGGGCTAAAAAGGAAGAGCACCAATGAAGGCAGGACGGTTGTGGAGAGTGTCTTATAGAAAGTTACATCTCAGGTGCATCTTAAAACAACTTGACTTTAGAGCTGTAGAAAAGAGGAAATTTTCTAGGCAGAGACAAAAGGAGGAATAAGAAACAATAATGAGATAAAATCAATTCATGCAGAGGACTAACAGGCAGTACTGAGCTACTAGACTGTCAGTTGAAGGCAAGGAGACTAAGAGTTGACGCTGGAGAGGTAAAATGGTGACCAGGGATAGACTTTCGATCCACCATAGTGAGCTTGGATCTTATTGTGCAAGTTAATAACAAAAAAGATAATGAGTGAGAAGCATGATATAACTTTGTCTGACAGTTAACCTAATAAATGAGTTTTTACTTTTTATGAACATTGTATAAGTTTGTTATTAACAATTGCAATTACCTAAACATTCAAATATTTTAATTCTTTCAAATTCTAGCTCCCCTTACCTCCCTTCTCCAAGCAGTCTTTCCTAACTAATCCCATTTCATTATGAAACTCAGTATGATAATCTGAGACCTATCCTATCAAAAGTATTTTAGTGTGTCTTCTATGTATGTATGTATCCATTATAGGTTGCCTTTAATTATTTAGCATATATTTGATTTTTTTCCTCAAATAAGTTACTCAATATCCTCTAATGTTTTCATACATCTTAAGCATGTATCACACCACCAGAAACACAAAATGAACTTGATAAAAGGTGATGAAATAAATGGTAACAGAAAATACTAACAAATTATTACAGATAATTATTTTATTTAGGCAATATGTTCTCCACAGAGATCAAAGCATTGTATGATACTGTAATATGGAACAGTACATATTTAAAAATCAGTATTTAAAAAACCATTTGATAAAATAGCTCTGGAAAAGTGTAAGAAAAAGAAGGGAACAGGAGGGCCAAAGATGGAAGAAAACAAAACAGTGAGTTATGAAGATAACACATTTAAGATTCTACCCTACAATAAACAGAAAAAAGTCTTAATTTTCTAATAATATATGTACACATGTTTATTAAAGATAGAGTACATAAATGAGAGTTCAAAATCTGATTATTTTTAAATTATAAAATCTATAAACTATCATAGACCCTAACAGGCTTGTAAGTAAAAACCTGCATATGGACTCTACAACCAAAACACAATTAAAGATGTCTAAAGAAATGTGGGAGACAGGGGTAGAAACATAGTCAATTGGGTTTACCTAGGGTAAGGACAGACTAGTTATTAAGAGGAAATAAGCCTTCATAGGTGATAACATTCCACATAACAGAAATCTTTGGTATTATTAACAGAGCACCTACCTGTACAATTTTTGTATAGCATGGGCTGCATTCTTCCTAACATATGGTGATAAATCAGCAGAAGCTTCCTTAATAGCAAGCATCATAATAGGTACAATAATTGGCACTCTAATACTTGAGAGAACTCTCAGAGCGCTTGCACGGATTAGTTGATTTGAGTCCTAAAAATAGTGCAGAAATAATCATCAAGATTTCAAATTCATAATATTTCAAAGACATCTTTATGACACAACTAATAGGAGCTTATAGGGTGCACTATAACAACAGCAAAAAAAAAAAAAGCCATGTAATTTAAAATAAACAACCAATATATGGAAATAAGTAAGGAAAGAGATACTTAAATGTTTATTTCTCTGAATAATGTCTTAACAAGAAAAGTAATGATTATAATTATAGTTAATCATTTACTAAACATGCTGGGTTTTCAGAGTTTCATAATAATATGCTGCAGGTCATAAATTATATCTTCAAAAAAATCATTTACCTTCTTGCACACTTTCAACAAGTTGTTCAAGAATTCCTTGATGCATGATAATGATTATACTGAACATAAAGGAACATACAGAAACTAAAACACACAGCACAAGGTCCAACTGGTTATGTAATTTGTTTTCTAAGGGTATTGAACAGGCACTGTGAGAGGCTTATTAACTCTTTCAAACACTACTGTGCCATTTAGTAGATTATTTTTCCACTTCTTTAAATGACACAGCTTCAATTTTACAGAAACCTTGTAGCTACGTGTCTGTTTGCTGTTAGTTACCTTCAGAGCTCGCTGAAAAGTGCTTATGGACAAGAGTGCGAGATCCTGCTGTTCTTCGGCATATCGGACCAAGTAAACATATACTAACTTCTTTATCTGTTAAAAAAAAATTTATTTAATCCAAGCCAGAGTCAAAATTAAAAATTCAGTATTTTCTACACCAAAATCTATTTTCAATTTTCCTGAAGTAAATAGCTGAACCTGGTTATATCTTAGATTGTAGAAAAAAGATAATGTATTGTAGGAAAATGAATGGCAACAGAAAAAGCTTATGAAGTACGCATTTTAATAATCCAATCCTGAGAGGAACGGCAATATCCTATCAAGGTGTTCCTCTCGAAGGGAATAAAAAATTCCTGAGCAAAACTTAGATAAAAACATTAAAATATTAACTGAATTGCAAAATTATTTTCAAAATGAGGCATACAGATAATATAAAGAAATTTGGCTCTGTGTACTAACTATACGGTAGAGGAGCTTATGTTCCCTCATCTGTCAAAAGGTTGCTAGAGCCCCAGTTTTGATTCTATGGTAACATTCATATTTCAATATACATTACATGGTATTTTCAGCTGAGTTAAGAATAATGCATGACATAATACCAATTTATTGTAATAAAAATTCCAAAAGATTGAAAGTATCTCCTGAAAATTGTTTTGAAAGGCAATTTAATCACTAAGGTTAGAACAAAGTTATGATTGAAGAGAAAAATTAAATAAAAATTAGAATTGAGTTGAAACTCAACTGCTTCCTTCTGCCTATTTCCATATACTTCCTTCCCTCATAGCCTATAATCTCCCTTCTCAAATATCTTCACATACCACTGTCTGATTTTCACATGTATCAACTGTCAGAATACATACCTAAAAGTTTATGGACTATTCAAAAAGCATAGAAAATGAGGGTAAGTAGCTGAAACTGGTGTTGGAAAGGAAAAATCGGGCTACACTGGGCCATTTACTATCATACACCCAACCTGGACTTCTTTAAAGACAACTACATGACCTTCCTTCCCTCACAATCTAATTTCTCTTGACACAGCATGGTTTTGAGTTCCTTCATTATCTTGCTTGCTCCCTTCTGGACTCACTCCAATTTGTCTCTCTTTCAGTGTGGAGTCCGAACTATAAATGAAGTCTTAGCAGAATAAACTAGTTAAGACCTTGCTCTAAATGTTTTACTAATACAATAATTCTTAATTATAAAAATATATTTTTCCCAAGTGTACTACTGACCAAATCAAGCCATCCTTGAGTAACTGTCCTCGTGAGGGTTTTTTTTCTTTTAAAAAAAGGCAAGATCTTACATTTACCGATAGATGGATTTCAACAATTTAAATTCAACTCATTGTGCACCCTCTAAAGATAATTTCAGACCTTAGTTTATAAACCAAACTATTTTGCTATTCTTTACAGTTTCATGAGCACAAGGAAAACTTAACAAGCATATTTTCTGAATTTTCATCATTATTAGTAAAAATGCTAACTAAACACACCATTTTAAGTTGATATCAATCCATTCTTTTATACATGGACACGGTTATAGAGAAAGTAACAAAAGATTTATTTTCAATTACTCTTCAATGTTAAATGGATCCACAAAATCATAAAAACAAAATCTCTGTGTTGCACAGCCGTCCCCATGCGCCACCCCTCACACTATACTAAAATTCTTAAGTCAATAATCAATACAGACCATAATCCTCTTCAACTTCCCTTCTACTCAAATCTACCTTGCACTTCTTATCTCAGTCTCCACTCAGGTTATCACCTTGCCTGCCCCCAAATTCTACTAATCAAAATCTTCCACAAAAGCAAAAATGAAACAATAAAATGCCCATTAACAGATGAACAGTAAAATAAATTACAGCACAGCCATATAACACTATACTATGCAGCTCTATACAGAATTACGTAAATCTATACTTGACACTGAAATGTGTCCATGTAAAATAGTTTAAAGGTATAAAATAGTATTAATTGTATGATCTCAGTTATGCATTAATAAAAGATACACACATATTGTAATTTATCAATCTCTAAAATATACCATCAACTGTAAGATATACCATTATTTTATGAATAATGAAAAAAGGAACAAAAACCCTGCCAATTATAAGTCACCATCAACTGTTAGGCCCAACTGCAGAAACTTTAAAATAGAAAACAAATGTCTTAGAATACACATAATTTGGTAATAATATCAAATATTTATATATAGCACTAACTATATGCCAGGTGCTGTTCTAAATGTTTTACTTGGGTTAACTCATTTTATATCCACAACTCAGTAAACAGGTATTATTATTCCCATTCTACAAGTAAAGAAACTGAAGCACAGAAAGGTTAAGTAACTTGACCAAGATAGCACATCTATTAAATGAACAGGATTCAAACCAGGTAAGCAAAGAAGTTGAGAAATCTATATAGTAAAATGTTAACAGTGACTATTTCTGGGTGTTAGTATTTACCAGTGAGCTTCACTCTTTACATCCTTCTACATCATTTACTTTTCTCTTTTACAGTGAATATTAAGTTTGTTTCAGATAGAACAATACAGACTGATTTATTTCACTTTAGGAGTGAATCTCTTCTTTCTAGACATTGTCCAACACAAAAAAACTGTACTGCTTTGGATCATAAAACATTTTAAACCTTCTCATTATAAAAAATCTCCAACTGAAAATATTTTTTAGTTCCCACACTCCCAGGAAGACAACTTTTTCTGTAGTACTGGCAAAATATAGACACTAGAACTGTTTTAAGCCTATTCATTAAAGCAACAAAAACTCAGCTAAATGAACAAGGTTTTGCAAGTCAACCAATCTGTAACAGTCCCTTGCTGTTAGTGAGGAGCAAACTCATTAAAAAAAACATGTCTCTGAGCACTCATAAATCCATAGCAGTCTCACCCAAATGACCATACATCTGCAGATGAGACCAACCCACTGAAGCTGCTGAAAGTCCATGAACCCTTTAAATGATCACTTGGAACTAAGTGATCTTACACAAAAATATAAATGGGTTCCAAAATTTTGTGATATTCATATATAAGATGGCAGCCAAATGATCCAAAATATAGCCAATCTTTCAATTATATTTAAATGGAAATATAAATGTTAAAAATTCTTAAATTACAGTTTAAGAAGCACTTATCTAATTGGAGTACAGATGACCTTTTCTCCAACAAGTTCCTGAGATTACAACAGTGACAAAAAGCAATTAACACTTATTGGTTGGCTGATGTATAAAAATTTCAATGTATAGAATCAACATACACAATGTATTTAAGTAAGATATTTCTCACATTCACCTTGGAATAAACATGAGGTTATTTAATACAGAAATCATTCCTTATTCATCTGTGTAGTCCCACGACCCATCACAATGTCTGGCACATAGCAAGAGCTAAATAATTATCAGCTGAATGTAACACTATAGTCCAATGGTAGAGGGAAAAAAATTAAGACATTTCCCATTAGATTGCTACCTCTAGGATCTAACTTAACACCAAGGGCTATAATTCACAGAATAGATGTTTATAAGGACACCAACATACTGAGGAAATAATAGGCATTAAAAAGAATCTTTAAACTGTGGGGTTTTTAAATTAATTATTTAGAATATTCTTTCTCCCTATGAATTATTTTTAGATCTCAGTCTACAGTTCTCTGAAAAGTTTTGAAAGAATGCGTTAGAGTTCACTTATCCCCTCATCCTCTTGTGATTTATTTCTCAGCAACAACAACATTTACCAAGTAAATGTACAGCCAACTTTTAAAGTTGGATTATGAACCCTAGAATATATCCAGGGGTGTGTATTGGCCACAATGAAACATTCAGAACCACAGCTGCGGTAACAGGCATTGCTATAATTACCCACTATTGGAGAAGGATCTTTGTGACTGTTATAGCAAAAAGTATAACAATATTAAATCACAGAAGGTTGCAAAACACTAAATTTGTTCGAGTTCAGTGATAAGAATCAATCAATACTGACCACAAGAGGCCTATGCACTGACTGGCTGCAGGTGTACAGAGAAAGCCTGCTTTCCCTGAAACCATTCTGTGACCAGAAATGGGAGTACTTAAAGCTCCGTGACTACACCATTCTCTAATCAGTTACTTTCATTCAATGTTACAACACTCCTTGCTGTAAAGCTAATCATAGCAGAGACCCAGTAGGCGGGAAGAACACAGGCAGATCTGTTTAATTAGTTTATCAATACTAGTACATCAAACTTCATGAGTTATTGACTAAACCTTTGATTATTTTTGTACTATAACCACTGATTGCTTACTAGGTCATTTTTGGTATCAATCGACATCAAATAGAAGATGACATACAGCTCAACTGTGTGTCTAAGGCAGCATGTATTTGTAAAAATGAAATTTTGCACTTGATAGCAATGAGACATCAAATTAAATTTTAAGAAGTTTACTCAGTTTTCTCAAAACAGTAGAAGATTAAGCATGTTTCAAAAACTAACAAGGTACTTCAAGAACAAAAGAAATTCAAACAATTAGACCAATAATTATATTTATGGTGACATTTTTGTTACAGAACATTAGGCAGCATACCAGAACCTGACTGTAAAGGGAAAAGGTGAACAGAAAAGTTCTACTATTATAACTATCTGAACAGTACAAACAGCTTTGAATGAACAATAAATAGCACAGAATTTTCTGATTACAACAAGAAGACTACAAGTCCAGGGGGAGCTAGTTAATTTACAATCAATTTCTAAGAACTTGGTCATTTCTACCATTATTCAAAATAAAAAAACGTATACAACTGACAGATACCTCCCAAAGGATAGCTAATACCAAATATTGATAAGAGGTCCAAGACACTATAAAGTAGAAGGAAGAGGGGAAAAAATCAAACAGGAAGGATGACTCTAAGAGGGGACTGGTATAAGAGAGGTTTTGAAGTCAAGATACCTGGCTTTGGATTCTGACTCTGAAACACACTAGCTGTATATGACCTTGGTCAGATAATTTAACCTCTTTCCTTCTTTGTACTTATATATAAAATATGGAATATGACAGAATCAACCTCACCAGGATATTTGCGAAGATAAAATGACTTGATAA